CCCCCCCCCGCACACCCGACCCCCCACCTCCCCTCACCTCGCTGGCGTTATTGGACTGGAGAGAGAGAGAGAGACTGGCAGCACACACACAAATTAGATTAGCTCCTGTATCCAGTAATGCAGGAGACACCACGTCAGGCTTCAATGCCTAAATTAATGAAGGAACCAATCAGGCAGGACTGATTGGATGTTAAAGCAAACAGTGTGAATTAGAGTATGTCACGCAGCCTACTACACAGGCTCCCCCGTATGGATGATATGTTCAATGAAGCCGTTCTCATCCCCCGCTGACCTGATCACATCTTCACTCGGCCGACCAATAACAACACGACGGGTGAAAGACTGCAGGACGGAAACATCTGTGTCGTCTGACGCACGGTTTCTTAAAAAGTCTGACTGTATGTGTGTTGGAGGAGAGGAAGAGAGGAAGAGGAAGAAGGAGGAGAGAAATGACTGTAATAATTCTGAGATTAATATTTAATTCTTATCAGATCTTCACTTCACAAACAATAACACAACAAATAACAAACACGAGGAAACAAGAAGGAAACGTCCGTTTAGTCTGACACACACTTTTAAAATGGTTTCACTAGTTATGAAAACCAACACAACTCTTGAGGTTTTCTTTGTTAATGTTATTGAATCTTGAATGCATCTGTTTCTTTTCTTCTATCACTGTCAGGTTTCTAAAGCCCCGGCTCTCGTGAATGGTCAGAGGTCTCCTCTGGTGAGTAGCTAACATAACACGCAATGTTTTGTTCCAGTTTGACTGAATGCACAAAGAAAGATATTCACCAACACTGTGGTGTGTTGTCAGACACATGAAGGTCACATGAAGGTCACGTTATTGATACTGCCTACTCCAAAGCTCCAGCACCGTTCCAGGCTGCTTCTGATTCCAGAATACCAGTCGTCTTCATTTAAATGAGACATTTACACCTGGTATGATTTGTCTTCAGCTTTACTTCTCTCACCATCTGTGACTGTTCAGCTTCAAACCATCTGCAGAGCAGACAGGATGTTGTCAGAGTTTCCCTTGGCTGGTTCATATCCTGAATTATACATTTGTTAATTGGCCGTGAACACTGACGCCAACAGCATTATGTACTGTACACCATTAATGTGTATTTTTGCTGTAAAGTACACATTGTCTTCATACTTTATAAAAACCCCATTTATGATCCAATGCTACAAAATAGTTTATTAGGGCCACGTGGTGGAACAGTGGTTGGTGCCGTTGCCTTATAACAAGGAGACCAAATGTTGGGCTGTGATCGGAGCTGATTGTTGCGTTTTAAGTTAAAGTTAAAGTTTATATCATTTGCTCTTCTTGTGCCTGCTGTAGAGCGAAGCTACACATGAAAACGCAGCAGCAGTGCTTTACAAGTGAAGCATCTGTTTACATACTGCTTATAAATACTAAATAAAGGGGGTGAAAGTGTTACTGATTAGTCAGATTAAAGATTAATGTCTGATCACGCCAAATTATTTCTCCCACAATGGCTTGGATTAGAATTAGGAGTCGTCCTCTCTCAGCTGATTGCCTCAGCTTTCTGCAGCGTCTAATTGGACTGTAATTACCGACACCAGATCCACTGTGGTTAGTGTGATTAAATCTTTTTACAACCGGCACCAGCCTGCTGCGACTCAGCAAAACAAATGTATGTACCCTGCCTGGAGCACATTGATCTGGATGGTCTTTGTTTTCTGTTTCTGTTTCTGTCTGTTGATGCAGTGAAGCTCAGATAGTGGAGAAGTGGTGGAGCCACACGAGCGTTTCAACATCTAAGCCAGGGAAAAATATATTTAATATGAGAGCTAGCCTCCTAAAAAAGCGGTCGGCGTTGGCAGTCGCTCTGAGAAGAGCTGTGGTCCTGGCCACACACATTTCACATTAGACTTTTTTAAAAGGCCTTTTAGCTAACCTTCGCGTGCATACATAATCAGAATGACAAGGCAGCTTCATACACTTCCAAGGTTGGTGTACTTTTTACAATGCAGGACAGTAAAGATGCCAGCGTGGTGATTTGCTGGCACTACTCAGCAGAGCCTATCAGTGCCATGAACTTTGTTTAGTCCTCTTTTACGACCCGGGCGCAGCCTCCGTCGTAAATCTTCAAGTGTACAAGGTTTTCACTTCCTTTGTTGACGGAATAATCTATCGTGGCGTTACACAGGAAGCTCTTGATCATCCCCGTCTTTACTGAACAAATATCGTGGTGACACGCCCACGGCGAGTGTATTTACAGTACGGACTTTACAGCACATGATGTAACGCTAGGTATTTCATTAAGGCGTGACACGGGTCTGTTAGCAAGCGTTTATGTTTGGTAAATGTTCATGTCAGTGAACAGTGAAGCAGAATAAAGACCCTGGTTTATTGGTTGCGGGGCGGGGTTGCCAAATCTGCTTATTATCAGTAATGGAATAGTCTACTATAAATTAACTTGCAGTTCTTTGGATTTGTGATGAAAGAGGAGGAGCTGATTAAGCTAACTCTGTTCACAACAGAAGAGTCAATACATGCGTCAGCAGCTTCACTGCCTCTGAGCGGCTGCTGTCTTTACATTGGTTGGTTGTGTTGGATGATCTTCTCAGTCATGCTGGGAAACGATGACTTTTCTTCTCCATCGTCCCCATAAGCAGAGGTAACAGAAACAAACTGAATTGATTTGAACGAACAATAGGTGAAGAACTCATGTCTGGAACAGAATACTGGGTCAGACCTCGGGGGGGGGGGCATATTACTATAAGTAACAATGAAAATGGTTGTGGATGAAATGCTGAACAAAAAAATACAGTTTGTATTGATATAGGTTAATGTGTATTTGGTCATTTATTTAGTTGTTTTGTTTTTTTTGACTTGTCTCTTGTTTGTCCCATGAGATCTGGCAACAACAGGCAAGACAAGGCAGTGGCATGAATGGGCGAAGCGCTGGTTCTTGGCTTCATTACTGCGCTGGAGCTTTACTTATGGAGTGTAAACCCACAGTGTATTGATAATTCCAGTAGCACGGAGTGTGTCTTTGCTCCTTGACACCTAAGTGGGCTCAGAATGAGCAGTGGTCACGTGGTGCCTCCGTGTGTGTGTCTGTGTGTGCGCGTACACATGTGTTTTTCCAGCCAGATTGTGTTGGCAGGAGAGAGAGTGTGAACTGTGACTTGTAGAGAAAAAAAAACAAACAACAGGAAAAAAAAAAAAAAACCTCACACATGCTACTTTCTCCTGCCCAGCTGCACATGAATTGATAGTGCTGCTGGCAGCATTTGTGCCTATTTTTTCAGGACAACAAAACAGAGGACCAGGTCTTATTTATCTTGGGAACTAGTTTGGATTGAGACTTGCAACAATTTATCAGTGGCTGTTGGACAAGCAGTGTGTAGTTGGACTGGTTTAAAATTTGAGCTTTTGAGTTGATGTAAAAAAATGAGCTTCTTGAAAAATAGAAAACTCTTATTCTTACATTAATTTAACAGTTTTATTCCTGTCTGATTTGCTGAAGTTATAAAATGCTGGGTTTAAAACCCAAATTGTATTGAGTTAACTAAGTGTTAATAATGAAATTTATATCAAAACATTTGATCAAATAAATCACTGGATTGTCATGTCATGTCCAGTATAATCTTCTTGTGGGAGACAATTCAACCATGCAGTACATTACTGCCACCTATAGGGCTGGAGCTGGAAGCCAATAAGCTACATTTTCAATTCAAAATATTTATGCTTGATGAATAATATATGAATGAATATTGATGCTACATGAGTGATACTGTGTAGTATTTATTTGTGTGTGTTTTACTGTCTACTACATTCAACATTTGAAGTGTCTTTGGCTTCATCTGTATCAGCGCTGCCATAGCTAACGTTAGCTCTGGTGTCCTTGCTGGATGTAATATGTTTGGCATTGAGTTGAAGTACTGCTAAAGTAAATGTTCGTGGCACAATTTAACCATAAAATCTGCTCCTATCCAAGCTAAAATCTGAATTAAAAAATGATTAGACTGCACAATGTACTTTAATTTGCACTATTTCTGCACATATACACGTGTCCTAAATGTTTCACACTGCACCAATAAAAGTACTGTGCAGAAACAGTTAAGACTCAATAAAACAGCAAGTACATATTACACATCACCCAGATAATTTCTACCGTTGCCGTGTCAGCAGAACCACGTACGTTACATTTTCTCCCTGTGGACACTAACAGAGTGAATGGAGGTAAAAGAGTATCCATCTGTGGCAGTACCGTTACCCACAACAACTCATGGCGAGGCTGGATGTGTAGGCTTCAAAGTAGTGATTCATTAGCAGCTATTTTTAATGGAGAACAGCAGGACACAGAAGTGCTGCACACGTCCACCTGCATGAGGTGGAGGGGCAATAATTGCATCAGAAGATTGCCTTGTTGTGGTTGCCGTTAAAGAATAATGAATTCATTCTGGACGTGTGTGGCTGTATTGGCGTGTTGTTGTGAACCTAACACAGCAGCGCCCCCTGTGTTCTTTCACCTGACTGGCAGGTGTGAACGATAGAACAAAACAAAGTCTGTTTCAAGGCCTGCAGTGTCTTAAAACACACCAGGGTGAGTTGACAAAGTTTATATCAGAGCTGGAATATATGGCCAAAAATACATAATACAATCTAAAACTGTATCAAAAGTCTTTGTAGTTAAATTGAGGATATGGAAAGAAATAGTTTTGTAGTTTAGCTAAATAAAAATAAAAACATTTGTCTTGGAACTTTTTGACTGTTGTCAGTATGTAGTTCACAGAAGTGGAGTTCCAACGGATGTACATTTACTGTTTTATTGTAGACGTTCTACAATATTAATAGAGCGTGTTGGGTTTGGCATTAATTTTAGATGAAGTGTACACAGTGTTGACTTTTTATTCTGGGTTCATCTGACGCACTCGTGCATTTCTGTGTCTTCCTCTGGCAGGAGAATACGTCTTCACGTCTAATCCCGACTCTGCAGCGCTTTAATTATCCAGGAGAAAGCAGGTTTGCAATAACCATCTATTTTTTTTTTTCTTCAATGTGCAAATGGATGTTGTTCTGTTTCTTACTAAGTGACCACCTCGGCCTGTTCGGCAGTTGTGACCCAACCAGTCACCATGGGATTTAGCTGAAGTTTAGTTCCACAGCCGTACGTTCGATGCTAATCAGCCGGCGTTCTTCTGCCTGGCTGCGTGGCCTTTTGTACGCCAACATAGTCGTCTCCCCCAGGTATTAGGCTGGACTGGAGGAAACTCAACATTTACATATCATGTGCAATGAGGCTGGGAAATTAGGGTGGCCATTATGTAGCAATGGCCCATGTGTAACTAAGTTATCTAACAGTTGCTTAGCTAAGATGTTGCTTTATCTCAGTTAAAGCCCTATCCGTTCAGGTCTCCTAGGACTCCAGGTGACCTTCTGCTCTTGCTTGTATTATAAAGCCCAAGGTGATTTATCTTTTCTGTGGTGAAGTGCATCCACTCTGAATGCCACTGTGGAATGTAACACATTCAAGGATTCAAATTAAGTCAAAGATGCAGCGATGATAGCGGCTGGGTTGTTCAGCCTTGACAATATCCTGGTCACTGCCAATCAAACGCAGCCACAGGCTAGAGTGACCTTTCACTCAGGGAGGGGACGGTGCACGCCGTCTTCATTGTTCATTTCTATGTATTTGTATAGCCCCGCCTTTTTTTTTTTAAAGCTCCTCGGTGTTCTGTAAACATGCTCAGTCAAGTGACACTTCTCAACGAAACATTTCCAAATACAGCTCAGTGAGAAATAGCAATCATCAAAAAAAAAAGAAAAAAAGAAAAATCAGACATCTTTCTTTCCAAGCGCTCAGGGAATCCAAAGTCTCACTCACTTATTCTCAGCTGGTGATGTGTACCTGTTACCCAATTAGCAGATATTCTTATTTCTCACAAACACAATGATGGTTCACTCCCAGGGTGGAGTCGAGTCACTCATCAGAAGAATAATTAACAGCCTGAAAATGTTTTAATTTCTTGTTTTTGTATTTAGAGTGGTAGAGATCTTCTCATCCCCTGAGAAACACTTGACGTGTGAGGATCATCGACGGCCTCTGTTCTCTGCTTTTCATTTAGCTACATGTTGAATAGTAATTTTTGTTTCATTGTATTAATATAATCAAGGCACTGAACTCCACCTGAGGCCAGGGCAGTGATGAAGAGGCTGAGAATTTCACTGGGATTGAACGGAATGAACAGAAATAGAAATGAGACGCTTTTAGTTGAACAGTTTGGAGATAAAGTTAAGAAGATGAGGGTGGAATGGGCTGTACATTGGCTGAGCAGACATGTGTATATATATATATATATATATATATATATATATATGTGTGTATATACTAATATATGTATGTATTTATATATACACACACAAACATATGTGTGTATATGTATTTATATATATATATATTTATATATATATATTTATATATATTTATATATATGTATAAATATATATAAATGCCCCTCCTCCCCCCTTCACAGCCACTAAATCACTTCCGTGTTGCCTTTAACACTCATTGTGAGGTTAACATAACAGATGAAGATATGTAGGAAACAGAGTCTTGGTGGAATACAGATGAGACCATTGGATTATGTTGGATTTATGACAGCGATGAGCTCTTAATATTCATCCGTATCCCTTGCAGTAACTTCATCCTCTGTGTGTGCTGTGAGACCTGAGCCACGGCTTTGTCTCTGTCACAGTACACCCACTGTGTGCCTTCTAGCACTGATCCATCCTGGCTGTCAGCGTGGATTATGGCCGTCGACACGACAGCGTGGATGTGAACATGAGACACAAACCCCAGTTGCATTAATCACCATTAGGCTCTGGTGAATTTCCATGGTTTTATACTGATAAGATCACAGTTGATGACTTCTCTTATGTTGTAAAACTGAATACAGAGGTGGGGGTTTTTTTTGTTAAAGGAAGAACAGAAACGTGTCGGAAAAGGTGTGAAGATATTGTGAAGGGAATAGTTTGAAGTTTTTTGGAAACGTTCCCAGTCATTGTTTGTCTGAGAACGAGACAGTCGAGCCTTATGAATTTATCTCACTAATTATACACCTGTTTGAAGGCAGCTCCTGAACTAGTGCGACTTTAAGAGGTTTAGCAAAATGTTCCTGAGAAAACCAAACTAGTTTAAAACATTTAGGAAAGTAAACGACAGTGATATTTTTCTCCCAGCAGAAATGGTGGAGGAGAGAAAAGAAACAAACCAAACTCACTTTGTCACAAACACAATAAAGGAACATTTTAGCTCCGGATAAAAGCAGAATTTTTCTCCCGGCCTAGTTCTCTGTGTCTGCAAACCTAATAACTCTGACGGATGGATTTCTGATTAGAGATAAGAATCAAGGAAACCCTGTTGGCACCTGGGGGCAATGTGTAAGAGGCAATTACTGTATTACATGTATTAAAGGTGTACAGTAGGCACAGAGGCTGCAGCTTACAATCAGTTCTATTCTGTTAATAAAAATTACAATCTGGACTCTTTTTTTAAAATTTTTTTTTAGTTTTGTTTTTTTTTTTTTTTTTTTAGTTTTTGAAACTCTTGTTTTTTTGCAGGGCAGAACTTCACAGAATTGAATCGAAGTTTATTAAAGAGAAGCCGTCTTTGCAGGGCAGAACTTCACAGAATTGATGTGAAGTTTATTAAAGAGAAGCCGTTGATTGAGCTGTTTGATTGTTTCCAGTTTGCTGATCTGGTAAAGTCAACATGTTTACTGTTGTCATGGCTGCTCTAAGACGTATTACTGTTCAAACAGTTGACTCTTCACTGCAGGACGTCTTTATTCCTAGGACCAATAGCAGCAGCAGCAGCAGGGTTGTTTTGTTGAAGGGGGCGGGGGGGTCACAGGTTGGAGCTGATGGAATCTGACTTTCCTGGAGGAGACGGGAGTTTTTTGTCCAACTGGGTCCACTGTAGTCTGTAGACTGTCTTCCCTGTAGAGGTCAGTCTACAGACACAGGGGAACAGTAACGAAGATGGTAGTTTATTAGAAGAAGATCACGTTACTGGTTCGATCAAGTTTAAATGTCTGGGATTATTACTGACTTGAAGATGAATTAATTAGGTTAATTGTTCATTTTTTTGGTGAGAACGCTAATGTGAATGAACTTGATAAAAACCCACTTTGCAAAGAGCAGAAAAAGGTGCTGTACAACAAAAACAAACGAGCCGTTCTTCAACAAACCAGGCAGAGTCATTTTTCACAGAGTAAAGACAATAAAGCAGAGGGGAAGACGGAGAAATGAGTTCAGGTGTTTTCTGTTACTGCACAGAAATATACAGCGCCGCTTTGATGAGTTTTTTTATGAGTTTTTTTTAATAACTCTGCTGAGCTACTGATACGTTTTGACAGAGGAGTGAGTGACAGAGGCAGTGGTTTCACATGTGTTTCTGACTTCATACCGTCCACCGTACGTACAGTGTGTAGGAGGAACACAGTATAAATAAATAAAGTGTCTCCAACTTAGCCTGAACAAACAACAGATCTAACAACAACAACAACAACAACCCTGTAAAGAGGATGAAGTGGGAGAATGAATGAATGAAGAGGAATATGAAGGAACATCCACTTCACTTCACTTGTACCAGGGAAGAGGTTTTAACTCGAGCCGTTACACAATCTGATGAGCTTAATTAATTAGACATTGTTTTGAAAGGCACAGAGCTTTTAATGGTTCTCTGTCTGTGGCAGTTTGTAAACAACACTGTCGTCTGTATTGATCAACCACTTATTATCGCCATCAAATTGGAAACGCTGCAGTGTGCTGAGAATTATTGGGTTTTAAAGCAGGATTATCCTCCATAAAAGTTTGCTTTAGCTGCTCCGAGACTAAACCTTTACAGAAAAACAGGGACCTTTTCAAAGTCATGTGTTTTTTTTCCCCCAGTTTGTGCTGCTTGGAGATATTACATTTATATTTGTTCATTTTCTTTATTTTGTCTTTGTAAAGGTTTGCTCCTGGCTAACGCTCCCTGCCTGCTTTAAACAAAGTACCAGGATGATGACGGAACAAAGACGGACAAAGTCTCCAGGTCCACGGCAGAATTCCAAAGAGAATAACATCAGGAAGTGACAAACCCCCGGCTGATATCATGTGACCACAGCGTCAGCAGCAGAGTTCTGCAGCAGAACACTGAGAGGTCTGTGAAGGAACCCTGCTGCAGGGCACACACGACCTGAGAGGAAGAGAGAGTGACCTGGAGCACGGTGGAAAAGACGGTGCTGCAGCGGCTCTGAGACAAGTGCGACTGCCGTGAAAGTGTCAACTGTTCAAATCCAACTAGAACAGAGCTTCTCTACCATTATCACTGATTCACTCACGGTGAACTATTTGGTCCATCCACCCGACCATCCATCCACCCGACCATCCATCCACCTGACCATCCATTCAGCGATTGATTTGTCCACATTATCCAGGGTCACGTTGGGCCAAACGCTCCAACTCCATAATTGCAGCACACACACAGGACAGTGTTTGTCCAGGTAAGATGTCACAGCGGTCACAGGAGAACTGGCTGGGATATTTTTTGACTATTATATCCACTGGGCTTCAGTGCGGAGCTCCCTTGAGCCCCACTGGCATTTTAGAACTCATTTTCTGGCTGAGTGCAGGTATGGACAAAGGTAAATCAGGAGTCAGGATCAGGTTAAGTCTTTGCAGAAGTGCAAGTGAAAAACCCCAGCTCACTACATTGTGAAGGATGGTCAGAAATGCAGCAGCTCCTCTTCAGGAGACACCATTAACCACCAGCTGTTTCCCTGCTGTATCACTACCAAACAATCTGTACATCTTTCATGTGGAATAACCTTGTTTATCTCATCTGAAGCGATATATCCACAACAGCTTGCCAGATGATTAAAAGGAGCCTGAGAAATGAGAGTGAATTAAAAAAAAAACAATGTGTCATGCTGCCTGGTTTGTGACCACAGCCCATTTTAATCTTCCATTAATCATCGTGGCTGCCGTTTGTGCAGCAGATGTGTTAAACAACCTCTGAACCATCGCAGAATGAAACCAAACATGGACATGGAGGAAACCTGCAGCTTCTTTCACTGTCTGTTGAATGGACTAGAGTCTAGTTCTATGTATCATTCATTTATTTATCAATTAACATCAAAGACATCATCACTACTCCCCATGAACTTTGAACTCACCAGTCATTTGTTTAAAGACTATGACAAATAATAATGTACGTAAATAATATAATAATATAATCAAGCGTTGAGGTTTATAGAAATGATTCATTTATCAACTGTTTGACAGTAGGATGTTTTTTTTTTTGTCTTTGTGGTTGAATTGAGAAAATTGTGCCGATGCCTGTGGACACCAGGCGTCTCATCAGGTGTTTCACAGATTTCAGCATCACTTACTCTGCTCCAGGTAATCCAGCCGGTGTTGACCAGACCCTGACTCGTGTCTCCATGTTTGATCCACAGTCATTTGAAGGCCCAGTTCACGGATGGCCGTCCTTTTCCTCTGACAGACGAGGCCCATATTACTGAGGCTCTGGCCAGGGATGGACTGCAAATCCCCTGCAATCCACTTCTACTGGGAGACACCTGACTCTGCACCCAGGCCTCTGGCTGTCGCTCCCCACTGATGTGTGCCGGTAAAGCTTCCTTTGGAAGGTTTCTTTCAAGCGCTCCCCCACAGGACAGTCAGCTCCAGTAACTGCACTGAATGTTGTTCCAGGTCTGACGAGAGCCGCCGGACTCTGAGTTGATGTGGCCAGAAGGAGACGACGTCCACCTTCCACCTCTGATACAGGCAAGGGTCTCTGTGATGTGGCAGCTCTTTGTTCTGTCCGTTTCCCACTGGTCAGGATGGCGGTTATTCAGAACTTTTTATTTCTTTTTAATTGTTTTCATTATGAGCTTTGTTTTTTGATTGTGCCAAAGGTGTCAGATGCTGCAGTCAAAAAATGTCTCTCTTCAGTTTCACTGTCGCTCGCTCTACATATAAATACATATATATTCATACATTTATACATAAGTTACAGCATGAATGTATATATTTATACATATATATGTGCTGAACCTATAATTATTCCAAATCGTTGCATTAGAATTCAAGCCCTTAGTTCAAATGAATTTACTGCATTAGTTGTATAGTGAACAATACAACAAAGTTTTAAAGATATTATTATATCTAACCTTCTCTTCCTGTTGTAAAGATTTGAGGCTAAAAACACCGTTAGTAACTTTTTCCCTGATCAAACGTGATTCAGGGAGAACACAAAAAGAAAAAGAAAAAAGAAAAAAAAAGGTTGCCTGCATTACAGGTGAGTTTGAGGAGTCATCCCCAAAGACTGAAGCAGGAAATAAGCAACTGCTGACGTTGACCGTGGCTTTGTTTGGCAACAACCTTGCTCGTCCCCAGGCACGGAGCAGAGAGAGGACAAGAAGAAGAAAGTCCTGAGCTGTGGACGGCTGCTCCTCTCTTTATTTTCTGTCTTTCTTTTGGTTTCTTTGTTTGTTGGTTATGATGGATTGTGCAGAACGAGGGCCGTGATGTGAGTCTCTCTGTGTCTGTGTGTGTGTGTGTGTGTGTGTGTGTGTGGGTTGTGACCAGTGGGGTTGCTCATCGATTCCCAGCCATTTCCACTAAAGCACTAATAAGACACTTGGCATTTTCCTTGGTGCCAGATTACTCCCTTTGTGACTTCCCTCTACCCTTTCCTGATGTGAGGCTGTGCGTGTCTGCCTGTGAGTACGACTCCCAGAGCTTTCCTAAGCGACCCAGTGTCTCCCCCTGCCTGCGCCTGTGCTCCTGCATCTGTGCTTGGCTGAGGGTGATAGCACAACACGTTTATAGAGCCTGATGTACATGTTTGTACTAACATATGTGCATATGTCAGGAGAAGATAGAGCTGTGGTTGTTTTCTCTGACGCTGGGACGGCTGCTGTGGAACAGTCCACCGTGAGGACAGGGTTTAGATGAAAATGTCTCTTCGGAAGCTGTTTAAGACTTGTTGAGGTTCGAGGCCCCTGGAGGGAACGTCATCTGACTTGGATAGGAACCATCAGTGAGCAGAGTCTGACGTCTAAGATGGAGGATTATGTGCAGTGTTGGTGATGAGATCAGGGCAGACAGATGGGCTGTTCCTTCAAGCGAGAACTTTGAGCAAACCGAGTTAAATTGACATTGAAGCTCCTGGTTCCAGTCTCCAGTTGTCTGTCAGTTGAAGCAGCTAGAGCTACTGTAAAACCCAACACATGAATAAATGAGGTGTCATCAGTCTAATATATTCTTTTTGTTAATTTGATCAGAGCAGAGTAGAAATGCAGCGACAGACTTGGAAAAGGGTTGTTTTTTTTCCCTCTATTTTTTATGGGTTTTGTGCCCACGGGTGTTTGGAGCACAACCTACTGTTCAACCCAGAGCATGCAGGCACTCTTGTAGTTACAAGTCACCACTCACATGAGCATGAAAAAGAAATGCAATAACCCTGAGCTGGGTACCTGAAGGCCAACGACCTCGGTGGCGATAAATTTGTCTGAGGAGAAACGATGACAAATAAAGGCCTTTTAATGTTGCTATTTTCACTCCACGTCAGGCAGAATTGATGTCTCACCACACACGGCCACAAATTATCTCTGGAGAGAAAAACCGCTCGGCGCACACAGCTGGGAGTGGAGATCCACTCCTTTAGGTGAAGCCATGTTCAGACCGACGTGGACTGGTGTTGAATCCTCTGAACCCGGCTGTGCCCTCCACCCACCAGGCTCCACGTCTCCCCTACTGGTGCAATGCAGATATCATGTGGAAACATTACAGCGCAGTTATCTCAGATTCCTGTTTCGTTAAAACACGTTTGGTGTAAAGATCGTGAATCACGCGGCCGAGCCGCGCGGCGTCTTCTTGCCTGCAGCGTCGACTTACTGTAAATTCTCCCCTTTTTTCATTCCAGGTATGTAAAGACAGAGATGGAGTGAATCAGATCACAGGCTGCGGCTGTGTGCCTACAGGCTAACTCTGCCTGAGAGTGTCTGCGTCTCCACAAATCCCCACCACTCCTCATGTGTGTCCTGCAGATGGGTTTAGTGCTGCTCCACAGTTGGCTTCATTAACTGATAGCAGAGAGATGGAGACATCATGGAGACGGGGGAGAAGCCCAACGCTGCAGAGAAGAGTGGGTTTGTAGGAACACACACTTCAGTTCAGGCTGAAACTGCCCTCAACACTGCTACGAACCTTATTTTGAAAAACCAAACAGTACAGTATATATTTGGAAATTAAATATGAACACAACTAAAATATTTAATTTGCGGATGAACTTCATCCCGTACTTGATTGGCAAATTAAATGTTTTTTTGAAAACCTAGTTATATATTTTTATCTGGTTCCATTTAGAGACAGACCTTGTGGTAAAAGTGTTTTATCTAAATTTATTTGTTTTTACTAGGACTGTCAATTAATTCAAATGTTTAATCAGACAATTCTGAGTTTAAAGATTAATCTTGATGGTAATGAATCAAATTAATTGTATAAAAACAGAAGGTTTTTAGTACAACAAATTAATTGTATAAAAACAGAAGGTTAGAGGTCAGTACAGAAACTGTAGAAGTAGTTACATCATCTTTAGTAGTAGATGGATGTAGATAAATCTGATTGGCTGAGAGAATGACACTAATACCCTCCATCTTACCTGTATGTTGTCTAATTTAAAACTGGACCAGTCCAGTGTTTATAATTAATTGTGATTGAAGGCCAAACACAACACTTATTTTTTTTTGGAACGTTGATAAATTCCTAACCTTCTCACTCTTTCTTTGGTGAAACACAAACTGTACTTTTTGGTCTGTCTCTTACAGAGGTCCAGTGGGAGTGCAGTGATTTTTGTTATGACCCACTTTGTTAAGATGTATCCAAAAAAGCACAAAGGCCGAGAATATTAGATGATAACAGCACGATACCGTTGAAATGTTTCCTCCTTAGGTGAAATGTGCTGGTAATAAGGCTTTGATTTCTTCTTTTGTGGAGTAAATGTGTCATTAGGACAAACATACCACAGTAAATGCACATACTCCACACCGCGTCTCACAACAACTGAGCACTCAATGTAAGAGGCTAAAGGTTAGCATATAGTATAAACAGTGAGACGTAAACAATTCTTAATAGATTTATTTCTTTTTCAGGTCAGCGTCAGTTCTTTTCTGCTCCGGTTCATGTCAGAGCTGCAGCAGTTTCAGCTCTGAAGATCTCATTGGCTGAGACTCATGATGACAACAAACCTATTTGTGACCAACCTCCTCCACTGATTGTTGCAGCCTGCAGAGACACAGGTGAGTGGTTTATATAAATGATGTTTTGATTTTTATGGTTCTTTTCTGTTAGTGTACTTTATATTTATAAATACTGTGTCGTCTTCACGTCAAGTCATGTTTAGGTTCACAGGCTTCAGAGCTTTAACTCAAACTTCCCAACAAAAGTCCATAATAAAAGTCCGGTGGTAAAATGATATATGAAGTATGCTAATCCCACTCCAGTTGCTAACTGCACACTTACTGTAATAATGGCCATTTACTTATTTATAAGTATAATTTACTACCTCGTGCTTTTACAAGGGCAAACATAAGCGTTTGTGGGATGAATGGTGTTCAGGCTCTTTAAATAACTTCAAATGAAATGTTGCTGTAAAAGTGGTGATCATAACAACATCTCAGTAATGGCCACCGTAAAAGCTGGCACCCGATGAAAGGTCACAGTCAATGACTGCCAAACAGTATTTTGCATCCCTCAAAGTGCTCAACCTAGATGTTAAATTGTTCCAGAAAGATGGGCCTCGTTATGCTTTCCATTTCAGATTGATTCCACAGTAGAGTGGACGTCTTCAAGTCTTAGCTGCAGGAAAACATGCTGACAGTCTGTCTGCTTTGATTATCCTTCTGTTTTATTTTACTGAGTGCTTAGGTTTAAACACTGCAGTCATAAAAGTTAAAGTTATTGGTTTGTTTGGTGCTTTTTGTTAAGATTAATTTATTTGGTAAAATACATAATAATAATAATAGCAGCAATAATCATATATTTTACCTTTTTATTGTATTTTATGTATTTGTCTTCATGTGATCAGTTTTTATTTTACAATTTGTTAATATATTTTACCTTTTTATTGTATTTTAGTTTTTAATTTGATAAAATACAGAGTAATAATACATATACTGTATATATATAGATATATATATATATCTATATATATATATATATGTATGTATATAATGTGATTATATCCATATATGTACTTGGTTACATGTACCTGCCAGGTAAAATAATATAAAAATATTTTTTTCACATTGTTAAATGCAAAAAAAAAAAAATCATCTGATCTAATTTAGTTTTCAATCATATTTTTAACAGCAGACTTAATTATTTAAACATTAATTCATATATTCATACATTAAGGAAAATATTCATGTCAAAATCTAAATGTTCTGTTGTTGTGAGCAGCTCACAGCGAATCATCTCTGTGATTATATACCTGGCACCTGAATAAATATAATTAAATGTTACTAATCAGCAGGACGGCAGGCAGCTGTGGACCGAGGGACCGAGTGATTTTAGTCTGAATGTTAATTATCAGATTTATTAATCTCTGAAAAGGTCTTTGGGAGGGTTGGGTTCTGGAGGAGAAGCGTGGAGTGAGCGGCTCACGCTGCGTTATTCATGCTTTATTTATGACACGACGTGTCTCGTTTTTATATTTACACATAAAAATGTTGTCTTAACCTGGATTAAAAGGATTAGTAAACGGATCCAATCTTTAGGTGCAAATCTGATGATCTTGTCAGTAAGGGTTAAAACACAGAAATAAATACTTAATGAATGGGTTTAAACGTTTTCTTCAGTTACAGAAAACAAGCTGAAGGAGAAGGACGTCTTAGCAGGACACAGACCTTTTCCTTTGACATAATTGCTACTGCTCCATATGATGGCGATGTGCAGGACGTTAAATACGTGCTCGTCACTCCCTGGCCTGACAGGGGAACGCCACTTTCATTTCCAAGCTCCAAACAAGCATCCAGCTACTGAC